GGGAGAGGGAGAGAGAGAGAGAGAGTTGGCAGTTGGCAGACTGTGGCCACACAGTCCCAGCAACGACACAGATGACAAGAAAAAAAACAACTCTGCATTGGAAAAACCATCAACGGCAGCTCACAGAGCCCATATCCACATCATCTTCTTTGCTGCCATTAAAACACTCGATGGAACCCCTAGACCGGTTTCGCCCACGCCACCATGTAGGTAGAAATGCAGTGGTATGGAGGATGAATGATAGATAGACAAGGAGGGGTCGGGTCTGTGGAGCATGGAAAAAGTGGTGGCACAGGCAATCACTGTCGGACAGAGGGGCAGCGGAGCTTGTAAACAATAGCAGAGATCTGGCGCCGGGCACAAGGTGAAGAGGCTCCCGCCCTTGGCTTTCGTGGCGGTCCAACAGTATTATGCATTCCAGCTTTTGTTGCAAAAAGAGAGACACATCAGACTTACCTGCTCAGTCAATCCCCTGGGATACAGGGTAATCAACGCTGGCAGGCCTCACTCAAAAAAACACTGAATCGGTCAATCCTGCTCAGGCAATCCCCTGGCCTCCAGGGCAATCAATGCTGGCAGGTTCGTCCTGGTTTTTCTGAAGTGTTCTGATGATTTCCATTTGTATCATACTCGTAAGGGACGCTGGACCCGTTTTCCAGCAGGTGATGCTCCCCACCAATAGATGGAGCCTATCCCCAGGTGCTAGCGGTGTCTGCTCTTACCAGCATCGCTAGCACTGGAGGGATCTGTTTCTTAAAAAAAAAAAAAAAAAAAAAAAAAAAAAAAGGTCTCCTCAGGAGGGTGAACTCTGTTGAGTTCGTGTGCCCGAAAAGAGGAAGCGAGGGCCTTGCTTCCTCATACATATAGCCTCCGTGCACCTGAGAGTGCTATCCCCCACTTCGCGATGTGACGCTCCGGCAGGCGGCCCGAACAGGATCAAGAAACGCGGAATACAAGAGAGTGGTTATCCGAAAATTTAGCGGATTTTTTATTGAGCCGCTGTACCCTCTTCTATAAATAGTGTCATTCTTCACCCGGCTTGCCTAGTGGTCCGGGTTCATGCGTCCTAGAAAACTAAAAACTATAGTCCCGGCATGCCTAGTGGTCCGGTGTCGTTCCTACCTCAAATAACTATTTTTTACCCCTACCGAAGATTATGAAACGACACGTGCAAGATCCCCACAGCAAGAGCTGTGCTTTCCCACATGCTTTCCGCCCCGTCCAGATCCGAGCGACCAGCAAAGACAACATAAGCCAAAATAGGACAAACAACAAAAAGAAGCGAAACTACATAAAATTACCGTACAGCCGAAAAACCCTCAGAAAACCGGCCAGGGCCAGCCGAATCTTCTTGTACGCTCAGAGCGTTCGAGAACTCAAAGAGGGCGCCCACATCGACCCAAAATCAGGGCTTTCAAAACCCCCAGCAGTCTTTTCGGACCCTGGTCATCCGCAGCCTTTGCTAAAACAGCCAGGGCACCGAGAGAGACCTCCGGGGGTTAGCCCCGGAGGTTTGCTTCAAAGATAGCACATGCTATAGTGCCCAGAACCAGTGTTTTGCTGGTCGAATGCCCCCACAGCCTAAACCGCTTTTTTCACTCGCTTTTCGGAATATGAGGTAAAATCTTGCATCGTCTGAAAAGTCAAAACACCTCGTTCCGTCAGCGGTTCAGTGTTCTTTGTCAGCGGTATGTAGTACAGTCGCAAAGGCCCGTTACAGAGGAAGATCGAGCCACCAACAAACTGCCAGGTAAGGCCGCATTCATCTTTTCGCACGACTTCGAGGTTCACATCGTATATCCTTTCAAAGAGTCTGAGCAACTCCTCTGGATGGTTCTCGTCGTGCATATTGCGGTTAACCCCGACCACTATGGAGATATCGTCCATGATACGCCACCCGCGGATCAGTACTCTGTCTGCTCCCAGCTGTTTAAGAAAACGTACTTCAGCCATGGCACACGTGATCGATGCCAGAACGGGGCTCGTGGATTTTCCCATAGGGATTCCAAAAATCTGCCTCATTATCTTGTTTCTGCACCGAACCCCTGAATGCTCAAGATCAAATCGTACTCCTCGGAGCAGATCCTGGAGAGTGAAGTTGACATATCCATCGGTCTTCTTTCTTGTGGTGTTGATGACACATGCCTTTGCCCGGTATGAGACCTTCACCGTCTTCCAACCGCCATCCTCAAACATGCAGAGCAGTTGTTCCACTGCTTGAATCACAACTTCATGCGGGATTCGTGAAAGCATCTCTTTAATATCGTAGCATCTCCCCACCACCTGTGAGCAGCGAGCAGCTTTCAGACTCCGCTCCGCCGTTTCCAAACCATCCCGCAGATCGGCCACAAAATTGAGATAAAATGAGCTCCTTGCCGGGAGTCTAATGAGAAGGTAGTGCAACACCCTTGCTATCCTTTTCTGTGTTACCACTGCCGGGTCAGAAGGTGATGGTGCAATCGGTCGCCACCTCCCAAGGTCCTTGTGTTTAGAAATGACATATGTCGTTCCCAATCTCCCGTCTGCCCGCCAAGGACCGAAGACATGTAGTCCTGCTCCAATGAAATCCTTCTTGCAGCTGGCGAGGAAACCAGCTTCCTAAGCAATCGGGCAGACTTCGCGGTAGTTTGTGTTCCAGAGAAAGACCTTCCCAAACGTGTGCCTGTACAGGACTGGACAGAAAACGGTTGTGTCCCCTTGATTTCAATCGACCGGAACCAAAACCAGACCACTCAGTCTCTTGCTCCACCTTCTCACTTCATCATCCTTCCAGGCCGTAGATGCGCGCCTTCCTTCAGCGAAGGTTCCCTCCGGAACCGTGATCTTCGGTGCATTTCCTTGAATGTGCTTCGTCGCGTCGAGCACTGATTGGATCAAGGTATCTCCATTTAGCGCCTTGCTGGATCTCGTGATGTTTTTGGAGTTGCGTAAAAAAGTTGGGACATCGGGCAGCTCTGCGAACCTTGTGGCTACATGGCCATCCGTCTTCAGGAGACTGAAGGTGCCGCATCCACAGGGAGACTCCTCCTCCACCGCAAACATTTTCTGGTTATGTAGCACCTGCCCTACCGTCCTGTTTCTCAGCCATACTACCCGGATCTTGGTCTTCATGAAGCCTGCTACAACCTTGTCTTGTATCTTGCCGTCAACAACCTGCTCAACCATCCTCCACACTCCTTTCTTCCGTATGCCGGAATCGAAGCGCAGTTTCACATTGATCCTTCTTCTTACGCCGGTGCCTATCTTCTTCCTGATCGCGCTGTCGATCTTCCAGTGCAAGGCCAGCTTGGTTTTCTTCTCAGCGAAGCAACCAGCAGCCCGGTAGAGCCCTACGAGTTTGTTCGTAGTCAGATTGGCCAGCTGCGACGCGGGTCTCGGACACTTGAGGAGTAGTGCGAGAAAATGCTTATTTTTCTCGGTCGTAGTCTTCATCTTTACAATCCTCAGGAAAGTCACCGTCCCACCTTGCTGCATTTTCCCCTTTGCATGCTTGAGAAGTATCCGGCTTCCAGAGATCAGGAGCCTTGTATCCCCAAATGCTCTCCTAATCATCTTCCAACTATCGATCCATATCGTTCCCCTACTGAAGGTCACCACCTCGTGCACCTCCTCCATGCGACCTCTGTCACTCAGCCAGTTGTATAAGGAGGCAAAGCTACCTTCTCGGTAGCATCCAGTAATTGTTTCCCTAACACGGGTCAAAGCAGATCTACCCCTCCTCTCCCTACGGCCCCTCCTCACCTTCCTCCGCCTTCTAACCTCGTGTTTATCAACATCCCGCGAGTTCATGCTGGGACAAAAATCCGTTATTAGAAACTTCTCATATGTGTAGTCATCAGTCTTCTCTGTGTGTCGAATCGGTAGTATCACATACCTCTCCAGGCCAAAAGACCTCAACCACCTATAGAGGTGCGGTGTAAGGCCGAGTGCGTAATTCCTAGCATTCCTGCAGTGTTCTCGCCACCGCTGAATTATGGGTCTCACTGTGCAGCCTACGTAAGTCCTCCTCGACCAAGGGCTGACTACAGTGTAAACTCCTGCGGAATCGAGGTCAAGAAGCTTGCCTAAATCCTGCGTTCTCAACAAGTATTTCTCTAACCACGGTATCAACCCCCTCGTTGTCAGCAGGATTGTAGTGAATGTGATCACACATTCCACCTTCCTGGTTATATCACCGCTAACGTTGAGCTCCCGCAACACCGAGCGTTGGTTGAGCCAAAAGTTCAGTCTTTCCCAAAGCTCAGTATTCGTGGGAGCTCGACACCATCAATTCGAGTCTTCCTCGGGCTGTGTCGGTGCAGACCTGAGAATAATTCGTGGTTGCTTCACGGTCGTCTGTTCATGTACGATCCGATCCTTCCTAACCTCTGCTTTAGGCGTCTGCGGAACTTTTCCCTTTCCCTTCTTGTCCGCGCTACCCTCACCTTCCTTCTCTTTAAACCCTTCATACGCGAGCTCGACTTGCTACCTGGTTAGCAGCTCGACCACCTCTGGCTTCCTTGTGTAGCGAATGCCCTTCTTATCGCATAACTTCCTAAGATCCGGTACACTCTTTCCCGAATAAATCTTGTGGGCAGAGATGCAATATTCGATCAGGCTTTTTTGTGAACAACCCGCCAAAAATCCCTTGTAGCCCCCCGTTAGTGGGGTCTTTGGTTCCTCCTCTCGCTCGTCACGTTCCTCCCCGTCTGGTCTTTGCTCCCCGTGTTCTTTCTCAGGCTCGGTTGCGCCGTGCTTAGAACACTCGCCCCGTTCGAACCTCGGAGTAAGGTCCACTGGTGAGATGGCCTTCTTCCTATCCTTCGGTCTTGTGACTTTCTTCTTTGCACCACGTTTCCTCCCCTTCCCCTTCTTGCGTCGACCCTTTCCTTTGCTGCCATCCTCCGAGGAGGAGGATGTCGATATCGTGGAGTCCGATTTGGATTCAGTCTCCGAATCTGATGCCTCGCTTGAATCGGATCGCTGTCCCCTCCTAGACTTCTTTCCCTTTCATTTGTTCTTTCTTGCCCTTCGATTCCTCACCGTTGGCTTTTCATTGTTCATATTGTTCTTCACAACAACATTCGCTTCCTTCTCCCTTCTTCACCATTCTTCGTTCAGGTCCATGCGCAGTTGCAGACGTAGCTCCTCCATCTTCCTGGCAAAATTCTGATTCTTTCGTCGCTCCTCTTCCTCTTTGGTCCTCTTTTCCTCCTCGGCTCTCCTCCTCTCCTCTAAGTCTTGCTTCTCCCGTCGCGCCTGCCTATGGTGTTCCTTTATCTCTTCCAACTCCGGGTCCTGTGCGCTGTAGCTCTGTTGGTACGGCCGTCTCTTGGCCCAACAGTCTCGCGCATAGTGACCTGGTTTACCACAGTTATAGCATACTCCACCGGGATTAATCACCGCGTTATTCCCGTTCGTAAAAGCGCCTCCCGGTCCCCCTTGCCCGCCTTGGTGGGTAAGACCATTTCCCGTTCCTCCGTAGTTCACGTTACCTCCAGCTCCACCAGAGCCATTCGTGAGAAACAACTTCGAAAACTAGATGTCCTGCCGTATCTCTCCCGCTTCCTACCCAGAGTATTCTCTCTCCGCCACCTTTGAAGTAACACGTACTGCAGAAAAAGATGACTAACGTGATCACTCTCTAACACCCTTCCGTAACGCGCTAGAGACTGCGCCGTCACTATATTCGCCCGAACACCTCCCAATCCCGTATCACCCGTTCGTACTATTCCTGGCGGCTAGCAGAGACCTCTTTGAAGTGAGATTCAAAAATTGCACCTTCTAAGCGTTCGGTAATAGGCGAAATGCTGCGCAGTCTATATCTGCCAAATCTCCTTGATATCTTCGCACGTCACGTCCGCACTGATCCTAGCGGTTAGCAGAGTCCTCTCTATCAGAATCAAGGCCCGAGTGAGGTCATCGTATAGTCTCCCCCGTGTTTGTTCATCACTGATGCATCTCGCCATATAAAACAGTGGTCTAATCGTAGCTCTCACATGCCTATTCAGGCAACGTATCAACTGCGATCTGAACGATACATCCCTCCATCCAATCACGATCCTCCTTTGTCCGCACGTCCTACAGCGAGTCGGTCCCCTACGTACTTTCATACCGAACCTTCAGAGAGCAGATCCTACCATCAGCAGACCACAGCCTATGATCATTTTCCAAGTCCCATGATAATCGTCCTCACCTTACTGCGCATACGGTACATTGGGTAGTCAGCTAATCTCGTATACCAACTGACCCGGAATCAACAAAACCAATAAGTCAAATCGAAAACGAGAGCGTAGCCCCACGATCTAAAACGAGCAGAAAATATCCCTTCCAGGATACAAACTCGACAAGAAAGAAAACCTCGCCCGCTCACAGAGGTTCGGTGATGCGTGTTGACGTAGCCACCATCGCAGCATACACAACTTACAGTTACTATGTGCCTACGAGTTGGCAGACTGTGGCCACACAGTCCCAGCAATGACACAGATGACAGGAAAAAAAACAAAACTCTGCATTCGGAAAACCATCAACAGCAGCTCACAGAGCCCACATCCACATCATCTTCTTCGCTGCCATTAAAACACTCGATGCACCGGTGGAACTCCTCGACCGGTTTCGCCCACGCCACCACGTAGGTCTCCTCAGGAGAGTGAACTCTGTTGAGTTCGTGTGCCCAAAAAGAGGAAGCGAGGGCCTTGCTTCCTCATACATATAGCCTCCGTGTACGAATATAAAGCCCTACGGGCGTAATATTCGCTTACAACGCCCGGGCTTTGTATTCTGAAAAAATCGACTAACTTTGCCGACGTGAGGACCCTTAAAAAAATAAAAAGTATACAGCGCCCGGGCGTACTATTCTGACAGTAGGACCGGTACCAGTAGTGGGGGGGCGCTGCCGCTTTGTACCACGTCACACGAAGGGCCTTGCTCCAGTACTCACAAATCGTGCAAAATGAGAACGAATCTTCCTCTAGAACATGGCAAGATACACTACCATAATTTTTGTCTTTTCTGTGTGTCGTTAGTAGCGGAGCGAGGCCCAAGATCAGAGAGTTCCGAAATCCGTAGGGGGCAGGCGCGTTCGCGTTGAGCAGAAGACCTCTGCTTTCTTGGTGTCGCCCTTGCCCACCGCCCAATCGACCTGCACAGCAAGCAGAAGCGTTGAGTAAATTCGTCGTTTCTTGGTGTCGCACTGACACCGCCCCTCTACTTAGATGCATGAGTGTGTGTGCGGGTGTGTGTGTGTGTGTGAGAGAGAGAGAGAGAGGGAGAGAACTACTTCACGCAAGGCACCCTTAATGTCACTGTACCTGGCCAAGTCCTGCAAATCGACTCAATGTACACAACGGACGGACTTGGCCAGATACATTCAAGATGAGGGTGCCCCACGATAGCCACTCTCTCTCTCTCTCTCTCTCTCTCTCTCTCTCTCTCTC